ACTGCCACCAGTTCAGTTGCCTCCAATTACGGAAAGTTGTTGAAACTTCGAAAATGCAACTACTTCAGTTTCATGCGGCATTATCGCAGCAGCGGAGAATTTTCGCCAATTTAATAACGAGAGTCAAAAATCTTTCATCCAGAAAGTTCAGACAGAGAATTTCAATTACTAGAAAAACAGTCGAGAAACGGGTAATCGCTGGGTATGAAGCTAAGTGGTTAAAATAGTAGAAAGTACTAATTGGTACCTAACTCACAAATGACTCACTGAAGAACTCAGACCAAAATCAAATAATCACCGTGTTACAAGAAATGTCTAGAAATTTACTCTTGCGAAAAACATAACAATAGTGCGAGTCCCTCGAAAGCCTGAGATTTTAATTGTGGCCATACAAATCCTTTTTCTAGGCACTGATTGCAGTCATCAATAACCCGCGACATATTAAGATAAGAGCAGATAAAACCTACATCTCATTCGCTGAAGTTCGTACCATGGATCACTTAGCTGCGAAGACAACTTCCAGTTAATGCACTCTGTCAATCGATGCAAAGTTTCCTTTCAGTAGGAAACACCCCGTGGATATCACTAGTAATGGGCTACATCAGATAGCACCGCCACAGATGATCACCAAACAATACATTTTAAGGTGGGAAATTTTATTTTCTTGAATGTATTTAGCGCGATGGTACACAAAGTTGCAAGGTTTGCTTTATTTCCACCTCAAATATGAGTAATTAAACCATCAGAAAAAGGAAACAATACTAGCAGCACATTACCATTAAGAACTACAGAACATAAATTAATACATAAAGTTACCTCCAAAAACATTGCCACGAGATAAACTTCTAAGACACCAATACATTCGAATAAAAGAATAAAAGAAAGAAAAAAACTGGAGAATAAAAAAAAACCATGTTATCCCGCTGTGTGCAGGGTTTATACATATATTATATAGTTAAGGACTGGTTTTACAATTACAGGGATTAGCGCCTTTGTTGACTTAAACTGATAAGGTGTTCTTTGTTAAAGCACATTAGCATAGCGCTCTCGATGTACATTGCTAAACAGTGAGATATACAATTCTATCCAGTGATAGCGCCGTACTAATACAGAAAAGGATTTGGATGACTTTTAAATCTTCGTTACTTGGTACATATAAATCAGTACATCATCGCACACATCCACTTATTATTCTTCATATCTTTCTTTATGACGGAACTTCGTGTTTATTCGCGACATACGTACCGTACCGTACGGTAACTTTTTTGCAAATATTCAGCTATCTATATTGTTCACAAACAGCGTATCACACTTTACGATTACAACTCTGTGAGGGAATTGGATAAGTCACATCACATACGTTATTCTATACGTGACTCCCACTTATCACGGCTGGCTCTTTTCCTTAATCATGACATCACGTTTCCGTACCACTTGCATTACAAAGATATTAAAGTGTTGCTGCAATTCATTCAATCGGGATATCGATAATGCTACAACTGCCATTCAGCTATCATGTCATAACCCTTTTACAGTATTTTAAGCAGGGGTGGCCGTATTTACTTATTGACGCAGGCAACCGTAGGTACCCATTAGTTCGTAAGTATTCACACATTTGGCCTAATCGTGCTTCGCTACACTGTTTATTACACTGCACTTCCTCAATTACGTGGACAAAGAAACTGCATGACCGCACTTATCAATTCTTTAACCACAAAATTCCCATGGTTCAAACTAATCATTTCCTGACCTTCACATCAACACCTCGATGTTCTAGTTATGTAACTAGCATTTGCAAAATTAACCGTGCTTTACTGAGTAACGAATCCCTTAATTTCACACTTTGCTGAGAAAAGTACCTAGATTCAGCACAAACAAAACATGAGTTCAGCAGAGAATTAATTCTCAAGTATACAAAGGATTGTTAAGTATATTTGTTTAATCTTATAAACGGGCACTAATTTCATGGTAATCCTAACATTCAGAAAAAATAATTTCTGGACACCGGACTGATAAACGTCGAAGCTTACTCTAATCTATTTTTCAACACCGTCTCAAGTCAAAGAGTAGTGTATCCTTATTGCCCGCATGGAAACAACCAGACTTGTTTAACGTGTGAAAAATTTACGTAAATATCAGAATAAAGATCCAAAACATACACCATTTAAAAACTCAGTAAACTTGCTCAGCAGATGTAAAATGCATGGGACAGATCAAATTGATAAAAGTAAACGCTGTGCTACATATCACAAAAGCTGGAAAACTCAAGGTTATATAATCTGGATGCAGGTCAAAATACTCAAAAAGTGTTAGTAGACCGTACATTGCGTATTGGCAGACTGCAATCAGAGACTTTATAGCTTAATTCAGATCGAGTTTCATTTCCTACAACAAAATTTCCAGTGGGAAAACCAAAAAACCGTCAAGCTTCGAAAATGCTTTTTAATATGTGGCCGTGGTTCTGGCCTAAATTTGTACAACACACAATAAAACTGCTCATTACAGATTAAGTGTGGGCAATCACTGAATAATAAACCTATGCAATGAATGAATTTCAAAATCAAAAAAAAGTCAAAGAGAAGATACGTCTATAGTTCCATTGGTGTCTTGAAATTCTTTCCAGTTCGTTGCCAAATTGTCAATTTTCATTAGACTCAATAAAATAAAGCAATTCCCACTCGCTGGTTCCATTATCTACAATAGCTAATGAAACCAAATTTTAAAGTGGATGGTATTTTCAATTTTGTGAAATGAAGTACTTCAGGTTGGCGCCAGCGATCCCAATAGTCTTGTCCTAAGTTCTTTCCTACCCGAATGATTCAACAAAATTGGTAAGCTACCAAGCGAGATACCCTTAAGTTAAATGAACTCTCCAACGTCATTATTCTGTTGCTTTGTTGAGAAAACTTATAACAAATGCAGTGTTTAGCAATACAAGAAATAAAAAGAAACTTTAGAAATACCTTTACAAAAACTTCTGAAATTTGAAACAACACTAACAGAGCCAATCATGGGTTTACAAGCTTCTGCAGCATTGATCCACTACTAAATGTCCTTTGAACTGAATAAATCAAAAAATATGGGGATGTGTTACTCAGACACAGATATACATAAAAATGAACCTCAAACTCCGCCGAATCAGGATTCACACTGCTTGGAAATTTCCGAATGAAACACGTATAAGTATTTATACGGTTCGTATTGCCTTTTTTCTGTTTCCCTCGCCGATCTGTTTGTACATCAATGGAAAAATGTAGCGATGAAGTTGTTAAATTGAACATAGTAAATGTAGCATTAGAACACATTTTCGAAGGATCAGATGGTTTCTTGAAGGTACTTACAAGAGATGAAAAAAAACTGCGTCGCTTCCGTAAGCCACCGATTCTGAACAAATGAAACATACAGTTCAAATCGTAAATTCTATTTCAACAAGGTGATTGCCCTAGCGATTTACTCACTACATGTACAAATAACCTTCAGCAACTCGAAAATACGTTATTCTTCACCAACCGCGGTTGACGTTACAAATGATTACATAAGCAAACTTTAAAATTTCTGCAAAAAATCAGTAGTCTCGTACAAACCATTTTGAAAACCACCCGAAACACATGTGAAACCTTATAATAAGAGAAAATGAGTTTAATATTCCACATATGCCGTATTTTCTAATTAGTAAACATTATTGTTATTAAAAGTGAACCTGAGGATGAGGTCGACTTTGGTGCCCGTGTCACGCGATACGGAAACGCCAGCACTATGCACATCTACGTTAGATATTTCCGATTCTTCACTTTCCGACATTTATCATGTCTTCTGAAAGTATAGCTAGAGTCAAAAGTTTCCACATCTTGTTCCAGTCGTTTTTAAAAATTCGGAAATTTTCAGCGAACAGTAAAAAAGCCTCACATTCAAGTCAATAGACAAGTGGAATACCGTAAAAAAGGATTCTCTATGATGTTGGGAATCTGCTCTACCATAGTAATCCTCCTTCATCTCATACATAAATCACGACCAGGCATGAAATCTACATCGGAGACTTGGTGCCACACTGCTTTTGAGAATCAGCTTATGTGCTTAAGAAAATATAAATGTACTATCCCTATTTTGGTTAAACAACTTAAGAAATACGAACAAAAGTGGAAAACATGCCATAAATTGAACCCCCTGCAAATTCACTTTAATTCGGCCAGTTGTAAATCACAGATTTTACAACTAGTGAAATTGAAAAACACGACCAATCACGGCTGTACCACAGTTGTACGACAGAACTGTCGATTTTAGTTATCTCCAAATAGGAGCAGCTAATCCAATATCATCGTTATCAATGCTCAGCAGTTGGAATGCGGACTGAATTAATTGAATGCTTAGTAATACCTGAATACTGAACAGCGCATGTGTAAAATCTAATATAAAATAGAACCAAAAATGAAACGCTCACGGCAATGCGAAATAACGTTTCTAAATAGATAATTTGAAAATACGAAACATTCATCTAAATGTGGAAAAAGAAGTCTCAAATTACACACGAAATATCAGAATATGGAGTAAAGGAGAAACAACTGCACTGTATGTCATGCATAATCGTTCTTTTTTGGACCAAAAAAAGAAAAACAAGGAAAAAGGTCAAAAGAGAAGCAAAAAGGAAGGCTAAAGAAATTACGTGAAATACTTTATTACGAAAATGATGAGAAATATCTAATTTTCGATAAAACAGGGAGAAGTAGAGGCTTTACTACAGCGGAAATGGAAATACTTGAATAAACTATTAACCAACAGAAATGAGAACACCTTCAAACTATAAGTTGCGTGTTAAGACAAGAACACAGACAGTTTTTCAAGACTGACCACCCTGTCGCATTATCTTTCGTAACAGACTATCACCCATGACTTTGCTTTCAATGTAGGTAAATAAAGCAAAAAAGAATCCACATCCTACACCCACGCAGCCCGTCCCTGCAAGCACGCAGATCCCACTCTTCAGAAAAATCTTCCATCTTTCCACCTTCCCAGAGTCCGGATAAAACAGGCGTATCTAATAATCCTTCCCTCTGCAAAACCTCAGTCCACTGTGGAAATCAGTTATCTTGCACCAGCAGTCCTGATGTAAAACTAAGAGTGCTTTTCGCAATTTCTCGAATTCAGCACTCTGCATATATACGACCGCTTCTTTTTTGCTTTTTCCCTTTTTCAGTGGGTTTATCAAAGCTTTATTTAGGAGAGCTTGGGGATACATTCTTGATCGCATTCAAGAAGACAGCAAGTCTCTGCGGTTCGTAAAATGCAAAAGAAAAAAAAAAGGAAAAAACAAACGAAGCTCGCCCAGTGGAGTGGAGGGGAGAAACAGAATTACCAAACCACGAAATTCGTTGCTGTTTAACGAATGGATATCAGATGCGCATCGTATCAGTCAGTTGCACGGCATACAACGTTCAGCACGAATTTGCTGATCAAATACAATCGGTCAACTGCTCGTCTGCTTTGCAGGCTTTGTTTACAGCATAAAACAAATAAATGGAAGCACTAATGGTCAGCCTTTCTCTGTACATAGAGTTATCTCTTTACACTAATTCCGAATGAGTACCTACATGGGTATAGTGAAACTGAGGACAAAATCACTAGAAAGTAATAAGTGCATTGGAACAAGTAAATTATAACAAAAGTGTCCATCTGACGATTTAGAAGAGGAGCGAACTTGCACAGTGTACTACATCGGTTGACAATCCGTCAAATGAAGCAAAATGGTCATTCCAGGGTAAACCGTCACTAAGTCCCACAGAGAATAACTGTCATGTCGTACCAATATCCCCAAAGCATTCAAGCAGACCACTTTGCTAACACCAACATTTGCGCGCGAGGAGAGAGCACTTTTAACACTGTGGCACACAATAAGGATCGATTTTTGGAGGCTGATCGTTGAAATGGGTGGGACGACAGGATGAAGGCGTTGTCGTTCCTTCCATCTTCCCACATTCCATCTATTGCCAACTAACCGGTTCAAAACATAATGTGATGAGGGAGATGTGTTGGAGAGGAATTAAGAAGAAGCAGAAAGTTGTATATGATAGTCATCTCTGCCACGTGAAACTGTGCAATCGTCTTGTCATCTGCATGGTTCATGCCACGTCATTGCTAAAGATCTTCTGAATGGGAGTCGAAATGATTACATCAAACTATTCTTGACTTTTGTGATTGATTAACATGCAACGTTATGTTGGCATGCTTTGACGTATGCTGATCTGTGACACTCCTGTACTTCGAGAGTTTCCTTCATAATTATCCCACACAATTTAACGCATATAAACAGTACTTGAAGAGCTACAAATACCAAATATCTATAAGTGAACAACTTTCGTCTTGACTTTTCATTTAGGAGGGATGTTGCTCCCAACTATCCAGTCTTACCAAAAACCCTGGATGGTTCAGTCACCACTCACGTCAACAGCCACGTGTAAAATTATCGATTTCCAGGACTTTCAATATCAAATGAAGTAAACAATAACAAATTCTGAATAAATAATCCAGAATGCCAGGCTGCGATTAGGAGAACGATCCAGCAAATCACAATGTCGGAAATGAGGAAGGATAGACGAAAGTAATCCGTCGTGCACCGTCTGGAGTGGACGTTATTTGTCAGGGAATTCGAAAAATGAAGAAAGAACTGACCGAAGAGGGCGACAGGAACAGGCAAGCCATAGGAAGATTACAAGATGTTCGGAGGGGGAAGATGAAATCAGAGACTGATTGATATAAGAATCAATGGTAGATAGAAGGGAAGGAGTGAATATACGACTAGCGGACATGAAATTGAAACAAGAACAGTTGACAGCTGGA